GCCGATCTCACTTAAAATTGGTCTAGGAATGATCAGCTCATGGTCCTGACAAAGTTAAGTTAACATTATACTATTTTTTACTCAAATTGGTACATATTTCAACAACAAAAATAAATACTATAGACTCAGGTGACCGTTAAGGCCCATGGGCCTCTTGTTATTAAGAAAATTGTGTGTTGATATTGGTTTTTCAATAGATTAAATTATGATTCATGATATACACACAGCTGAAGTCTCACAGCGTTTGTTTCTAGCCGGGTGACTTAGCAAACCTGTATCCACTGTGGATAACTGCTTTATATCCCAGATAGTTATCGAAGTTAATTTTGTTGTTGTCATTATTGGTCAACATAGGCTTAGTGTTAATTTACCCGCCACAAAACACTTAAAACACTTAGAAATCTAATTCAGTTATTGATTCATCATTGGTTGGTTACTGTTTTAATCAACCTTAAAAAATCTAAAAAACTGATTACCAACACTTGTAAAGGCGGTAATGAGGACAAAACTTGTAATTACAGGTAATCAGGTCTTGACATGTACAGGTAAATTATTTTATAATTACAGGTGGTAACGAGCTGTCCAATCAACCGTTCCATCTGAACTGGTGCTGGATATCATTCAGTAGTGACCGTTACAATGTCAGCGAGACACAAGACATATTCGAGGTCACACTTCAGCGCACAGGATATCTCAGTGAAACATCATTTATCAGTAAGTAGCGCAAAGATTATCTCGGTGAAACATCCTCCATCTGTTAGTAGTACAAAGATTATCTTGGTGAAACATCCTCCGTCTGTTAGTAGTACAAAGATTATCTTGGTGAAACATCCTCCATCTGTTAGTAGTACAAAGATTATCTTGGTGAAACATCCTCCATCTGTAAGTAGCGCAAAGATTATCTCGGTGAAACATCCTCCATCTGTTAGTAGTACAAAGATTATCTTGGTGAAACATCCTCCATCTGTTAGTAGTACAAAGATTATCTTGGTGAAACATCCTCCATCTGTAAGTAGTACAAAGATTATCTCGGTGAAACATCCTCCATCTGTTAGTAGTACAAAGATTATCTTGGTGAAACATCCTCCATCTGTTAGTAGTACAAAGATTATCTTGGTGAAACATCCTCCATCTGTTAGTAGTACAAAGATTATCTCGGTGAAACATCCTCCATCTGTTAGTAGTACAAAGATTATCTCGGTGAAACATCCTCCATCTGTTAGTAGTACAAAGATTATCTTGGTGAAACATCCTCCATCTGTTAGTAGTACAAAGATTATCTTGGTGAAACATCCTCCATCTGTTAGTAGTACAAAGATTATCTCGGTGAAACATCCTCCATCTGTTAGTAGTACAAAGATTATCTCGGTGAAACATCCTCCATCTGTTAGTAGTACAAAGATTATCTCGGTGAAACATCCTCCATCTGTTAGTAGTACAAAGATTATCTCGGTGAAACATCCTCCATCTGTTAGTAGTACAAAGATTATCTCGGTGAAACATCCTCCATCTGTTAGTAGTACAAAGATTATCTCGGTGAAACATCCTCCATCTGTTAGTAGTACAAAGATTATCTCGGTGAAACATCCTCCATCTGTTAGTAGTACAAAGATTATCTTGGTGAAACATCCTCCATCTGTTAGTAGTACAAAGATTATCTTGGTGAAACATCCTCCATCTGTTAGTAGTACAAAGATTATCTCGGTGAAACATCCTCCATCTGTTAGTAGTACAAAGATTATCTCGGTGAAACATCCTCCATCTGTTAGTAGTACAAAGATTATCTCGGTGAAACATCCTCCATCTGTTAGTAGTACAAAGATTATCTCGGTGAAACATCCTCCATCTGTTAGTAGTACAAAGATTATCTCGGTGAAACATCCTCCATCTGTTAGTAGTACAAAGATTATCTCGGTGAAACATCCTCCATCTGTTAGTAGTACAAAGATTATCTCGGTGAAACATCCTCCATCTGTTAGTAGTACAAAGATTATCTCGGTGAAACATCCTCCATCTGTTAGTAGTACAAAGATTATCTCGGTGAAACATCCTCCATCTGTTAGTAGTACAAAGATTATCTCGGTGAAACATCCTCCATCTGTTAGTAGTACAAAGATTATCTCGGTGAAACATCCTCCATCTGTTAGTAGTACAAAGATTATCTCGGTGAAACATCCTCCATCTGTTAGTAGTACAAAGATTATCTCGGTGAAACATCCTCCATCTGTTAGTAGTACAAAGATTATCTCGGTGAAACATCCTCCATCTGTTAGTAGTACAAAGATTATCTCGGTGAAACATCCTCCATCTGTTAGTAGTACAAAGATTATCTCTGTAAAACATCCTCCATCTGTTAGTAGTACAAAGATTATCTCGGTGAAACATCCTCCATCTGTTAGTAGTACAAAGGATACCCTCTTTCATCCTGAATCCCAGCAAAAATTTGATTTGATAACTATTATATTGTGACACTTCTGTCTTCATATGACTTCAGCTGATGTGAAGACATGAAATCTTAACAGGAATTGTAAATCGGGGCACCTAATCTTCAAAGACAAAAGGCCTGATGTTGTTAAGCTAATACCTAGTCTTATTATAAACTGGTATTGATTATGCTACGATGCGTTAAAAAAATAGCGGTGAAAAATTACTGATGATTGTTTTGTTTAGCTGTTCATTGCTCATCATAGCGTTTTAATGATCCATCTCTCACATTTGACGAGCATTCGTTAATATTTTACTATTGAATCTTAAATCGTGTCACACAAACATGGCTGATCATGGAGTTAATTTGTTACAGCCATCACTGCCGAGAACGGGACAGCCAGGATCGGAGAAGACATCCGAGATTGGTTCACCCCACAAGTTCAGTTCAACCCAGGTAGGTAAGAGAGCAGATTTGGGTCCTTAGGGGTACAGGATTCTTAGCGTGGGTAAACAGACCTGGTATGATTGCCCAGGATGTGGCTCTAAGGAGTTACATAATTATAGGGTGGGGAAAGATCTAGTATAATCACCCATGGCATGGTTCTAAGGAATTACATAATAATACGGTGTGGAAAGATCTAGTATAATCCCCCAGGGTGTGGTTCTAAGGAGTACATACAATTATGGGGTGTGGAAAGATCTATTATAATCCCCCAGGGTGTGGATCTAAGGAGTACATACAAGTATAGGGTGTGAAAAGATCTAGTCTAATCACCCATGGCATGGTTCTAAGGACTTACATAATAATACGGTGTTGAAAGATCTAGTATAATCTCCCATGGCATGGTTCTAAGGAATTACATAATAATACTGTGTGGAAAGATCTATTATAATCCCCCAGGGTGTGATTCTAAGGAGTACATACAATAATAGGGTGTGGAAAGATCTAGTATAATCCCCCAGGGTGTGGTTCTTGGTCAATATGAGGCTACAGATCTAAACTAGCAAGAGAAAGTTTCAAGGTTGAAGATTTCCTTCATCATTGTTTTAATCTTCAATAATTTCACGAATTTTATTAAGGACACCAATACCACTGAAAAAACCCTGTACCTACATGAATTGTAAACTTTCTAACTGGTAAGACAACAGCTTTGATAAATCATTTCTGAAAAGAAACCCATGTCTGGCAGAACTTTTATGATTGATAAAGATGGAATACGGGGGAAAAAGTAAAAACCAACAGTGTTCCGATATTAAAAATAAAATGGAGTAAGACCGGGATTCAAACTCTTTGATCACAAAACGGTCACTCTTACCAGCTGAGTTACCAACTAGTTCCTTGACAAAGTCCAACTTTACATCTGGAAAAAAGAAATTGACGGAGAGATTGTTGTATGCATGAAAAAATTATAGTCGAACTCTCTAGTGTTTTGCCTGCAGTGGGACAGGCATCCTTAAGAACATTTTTCAATTTCCTGATGTGTAATGGTTGTGGGTTAATAGTACAGAAAAATAATAAAAAATTGAATACGAAAATGTTAGGTTAAGGCGGCCTGCTATTATCCAATGGTCGTGACCGGTGTACTTCTGATCTCGGCATCCTTCTTCGTCATAAAGGAGCTGTCAGTTGCCAACGTAATAGTTCAAACTCCGTGTTAAATGGAGTGTAATTCCATATTGTAGCAGAAGGAAATTGGTTGAGCTAGTATTTTCAGTTGTGATTTGAAGAGTCCATTAAAGAAGTTAGAGATGGGAAAGTTTGCGTTGGAGATGAGAATAGACGGTTTGAGGTAGTCAGGGAGAACCAGAATTATTTCTGTAATAACCGGTGTGAGATGTATTGGGGGGAAATAAAGAGCTTGTTGATTCCAAAATAGAATTTGCTTTGAAGAACAAATTTCATGATTTTATTACAGCCATTTTTTGTTTTAAAGACATTTTGTGGAGAAATCTTGTTGTACGATCCTGGTAATGTTCTGAAATCGGAACCAGAATCTAATGCACCCAACTGCAGACTCTGAAACGCTACGCTCAGAGTTTCTAGAGTCAAGTAGTTGGCAAATTGGACTCCTTCAGTTGAATTCACATCAAAGAACTAAAATGCCTCCCTGGGAGCTTGAACTCTGCCGATTACTTATTGTATAAATAGCTCGTTAATATGTCTGATTGGGGTGGTGTACTTCTTGTGACACAGGTCAAAAGGTCAAGACATGGCGGCTCCACCTACATGATGATGACAGATTTGAAGGTCCAGAGAAGTTCACTCTTCAACTCAGCAATCCTGTCATGGCCGCCTTACAGCTTCCTGTCACATCCATAGTAACGATTCAGGATCCTGAAGATGGTAGGCCTTATTTACAACATCGGAATTTTGAAGGTTTTTTTTAATAGAATAAAATAAAAAATGATTGTGCACAAATTATACTGAACTTTGTTTTTATGTTTTGCCTAATTTTACTTTCTACTTGATAATTAGACATTCTAACCAATTGGACCAAAGTTGTTCGTTTATGAAATCCAATTTTGTTAAAAACAGATATGACCAAGAGTGAGATATATATGTTAAAGACATTCATACATATGCACGCATGCACATACAAAGACATTCATACATATGCACGCATTCACATACAAAGACATTCATACATATGCACGCAT